AGTGCCATTTTATGGTGAAAGAAGGAATTGTATTAGGACATAGGATATCCAAGGCTGGGTTAGAGGTTGATAAAGCTAAGATGGATCAAATTGAGAAGCTGCCACCCCCTGTTAACATAAAGGGGGTAAGGTCTTTCCTTGGGCATGCTGGTTTTTATAGGAGGTTTATAAAAGATTTTTCCAAAACTTCTAAGCCTCTTAGTCATTTGTTGGAAATTAACACCCCATTCCATTTTGATGAGGCTTGTCATAAAGCCTTTGAGGAGCTAAAACAGAAATTAATTTCTGCTCCCATCATAATAGCCCCTGACTGGTCAATGCCCTTGGAGTTAATGTGTGATGCAAGTGATTGGGCAGTGGGGGCTGTTTTAGGACAAAGAAAAAATAGAGTTTTCCACTCTATTTACTATGCCAGCCGAACCTTAAATGGAGCCCAATTGAATTACACAGTGACTGAAAAGGAACTGTTAGCTGTGGTGTTTTCCTTTGATAAATTTAGATCCTATTTGGTAGGCACCAAGGTCACTGTATATACTGACCATTCTGCCATAAAATATTTGGTGGAAAAGAAAGATTCCAAGCCTAGGTTGATTAGATGGGTTCTTCTCCTTCAAGAGTTTGATATGGAGATTAAGGATAGGAAGGGAACCGAAAATCAAGTGGCTGATCACTTGTCTAGGCTTAATGAAGGGCAGCAAGATGAAAAGGTAGTGGAGCAAGACATTAGAGAAACCTTCCCTGATGAGCAACTATTTTTAGTTGCCACTAACACAACCCCATGGTATGCTGACATAGCTAATTATCTAGTTAGTGGGGAACTGCCTAAGGAGCTGAGTTACCAACAAAGGAAAAAGTTGGTACATGAGAGCAGGTTTTATTTGTGGGATGAACCTTATATGTTTAAAAAGTGTGCTGACCAGATCATTAGGAGATGTATTTTGGAGGAAGAAGAAAAGGACATCCTTAGGCAATGCCATGACTCACCATATGGTGGTCACTTTGGTGGCATGAGGACAGCAGCAAAGGTGCTGCAGTCAGGTCTTTATTGGCCAACTGTGTTCAAGGATGCAAATTCTTATGTTCATAAGTGTGATAGGTGCCAAAGACTGGGCAACATTTCTAGAAGGCATGAAATGCCTTTAAAACCTATTCTGGAGATTGAACTCTTTGATGTATGGGGCATAGATTTTATGGGCCTCTTTCCACCTTCTTTTGGAAACCAATATATATTGGTTGCTGTGGATTATGTTTCCAAATGGGTGGAAGCTGCTGCCTTACCCACAAATGATTCCAAGGTGGTACTTAAATTCTTGAAAAAGAATATTTTTACCCGATTTGGAACTCCAAGAGCCATTATAAGTGATGGAGGTAAGCACTTTGCTAGTAGACAATTTGAAGCTCTTTTGGCTAAATATGGAGTTAAGCACAAAGTATCTACTGCTTACCATCCACAAACAAGTGGGCAGGTGGAAGTCACTAATAGGGAAGTTAAGAGGATTTTAGAGAAGGTTATGAATCCTTCAAGGAAGGACTGGTCCCTTAAGTTAGATGACTCTTTGTGGGCTTATAGGACAACTTATAGGACACCTTTAGGCTGCTCTCCTTACAAGCTAATTTTTGGTAAAAATTGCCATCTACCCTCAGAGCTTGAATATAAGGCATATTGGGCGACCATACAACTAAATGTTGATGCCACTGCATCAGGAGAAAAGAGGCTTCTTCAACTCAATGAAATGGATGAGTTTAGGTTAAATGCTTATGAAAATGCCAAGTTGTACAAAGAACAAATGAAGAGATGGCATGATAAAACAGGGTCTAGCTGAGCATTGGCATTCGATGCCTCAGGGATGTTTCGGGACCTCGTCATGACACTACACATGTTACACAAAGAAATGAGTTGATCAGGGCCACACTCCGTGATCACAAATGCAATAATCATAAAGAGTGCCTAAAACAACTACAAAGCATTAAGCGCCAAGCAAACATAACATCAATTCATAAGTTTCCCTACGAAACTGCTCTGATACCATAAAAAGTAACACCCCGTTCTAGAACCGATTTGTTAAAATTGCTTTATGATATTAAGCGCAGTTACAATCACATTGGTTCAATTAAAAACCCGGATAAATTTCAATTAAAAGGGTCCAAATCTATCACATAGGATACGAAAAATGGACCACAAGACAGGATGTCTATATTTCTACATGGATTTTCAAACCCATGGTCCTCTTTTACCTAATTGACATTATATAATCCTTTCACTACATGAATTCTAAGCTTTCAAGGTACTCACACACTAAGAGAAGCATGCATATCATTTAATCATACATAAATCTCCATTAATTACAATATTACATTATGTCTTAATTACAAATCTCATATACATGCCAAAGGACTTAGCTACAAAAGGAACATGATCAAAGCTATAAGTCATTTACAACAAGGCATTCATCACTACAATGATCGTGCACTACGTCCCTCAAAATACATATTGTGACATCAAAATATACATATAGCAATTATAAATGGCATGCAACTCAAAATATCTAGCTAATCAGGTACAGTCTACTCATGCTTCTTGCCTCGATCAACCTCACCTCTATCAGTACCTGAAATGATGCCCCACAACACGGGGTGAGATATACGAATATATCACAGTAAACCAAAGGTCCTTGGAGATCACTCCACCCTAAGTTTCACTTTCGATGTACACATAATCATAATAGCTTAACACATTCTTATCCACAAGCATCACATGGACTTCCAAGAGAGATCCACTAAGGGTTGTTTCCAAGGGAAGTCCTTTCCTCAATCTATTCCAAGAGAGATCCTCAAAGGGCTGTTTCTCTTAAGCTCTTACCACATGGAGATCCACCCAGGACTGTTTCCAAGGGAAGTCCTTTCCTCAATCTAGGAACCTCCAAGAGGGATCCACATATAGTTGTTCCTCTTAGGCTCTAACCACATGGAGATCCACATAGGGCTGTTTCCAAGGGAAGTTCCTACCAATCATCCTCATCATAATACTATTACTCATAACCTCAATCACAATCCTCAACCATTACCTCATTCATTATTTCTACTTCTTTAACCATTCCTCAATTACTCTTAAACAATCAAACATCAACCAATAATCATCAATCAATCATAACATGTATCAATGCATGAATCAATGCATGAGCATACAATTACTATCATAATTACATATCACATCTCATAAACCATTTCTCCTCAATGGAGTATGGTGGAACACTCAATGGGATCAACCCCAAGGTCCAAAGGTTTACCTTGCTCTTGAGCTTTCCCCAATTGCACACAACCACTAGGGTTGGTCACTCCACTTGGTTCTCTTGCCTCAATCTTATTAATACAAGGAACACAATCAATTCTATAATCAAACAATATCTTAACATTCAAGAGCATCCTTCATCTCAAGCATAATTTACTCAAATGTCAAACCATACTCAAATGACAATCTAAACTCATTTCTACCGTTTATTTATCATCACTAACAACATTTACAAAGGCACCAAGCCTCCATCAAACTCAAACTCATAAACCCCCAAAAAACACTATTCATCATCTTCAATCTCTAGAAAACTCCATGAACACAAGGTTGGAGAAGTGGAAACTTACCACAATAGGTCACATAACCAAGCAATAGAGGCCTCCTAAGCTCCCATGGGTGGAGGTGCCACAAAACTCCTCAAATCACCAAAGGATCGAAATCTTTGGAGGGAGAAATCACTCTCCACAAAGCTTCTCACTCAAAACTAAGCTAGGATTTGGGATGAGGGAAGGATTCTCTACGTTTTTAGCTTTGGAATGGATGAATTTGGTTGAGATATGATGGAGCTAGGGTTTGGACCACCCTCCCTCTTCTCCTTCTCTTCTTATCCTCCTCTTCTTTCTTTCTTTCTTTCTTTCTTGTGGCTCGACGAGTTGGGGAAGGGATTTGGGTTCTTTTTTTGTTGCTTGGTCACTTAACATATGTTAAGTGGCTTTAAGCAGGTATTGGTTCATCTATCTATTCAACCCCATTAATTACCAAACTTTACCCAAATGTCTGGAATATTTTTCTAGGAATATTTCCACTTTCATCTTTATATTTTGGGTACTTTTGCCTACACCCATTTATACCCCTTAATTTTCACTGAGTACACTTTTTATCTCAAAAGTGACCCCAAATCACTTAATTAGGCCCTATACTTAATTTTACTTACTAATACATGCTTAATTACTTAATTGAAAGTAATTAATTAAATTATTTAAGTTAGAGGTGTTATACCTTGCGCTACTCTTAAACTACTTTCTCATTGACTCTCACAGCACAGTTTGAGTTCCCTGCCGGTGTTGGAGGTACGACTTCTGCATTTTTACACTTACAACATTTACATGGTCGTTTTTTCTTATTCTAATAATATTTTCAAATTCTTTCTTTTTAATTCTGTTCTATTTTATTCTATTTCCATTAGAAAAAAAAACACAAATTCTTTCTTTCTTTCTTGGAACCTGAATTTCATAGTCAAAAGAGTTTGATAGGCTAAAACTTAGATTATATAAAAGTCTTGGTTTCTTGATGATTTGAGACGCTCTTCTCCCTTTGAATAGTTACTTCTCTTAAAAGATCTTGTTTTTCACTTACCAATAACCATGGCCATGTCTGCTTCTTCGTTCCTTCGCCCTCTCCATCAAATACAATTCCAAAGAACCTTTCTTTTTTGAACTGTTGATAATGCAACGTGTGACAGTTTAACAGAATCTACCTCTGAGACCTGAAACCCAAGAAAATTAAGGAATATATAAAGTTTTTTTTTCTGCGCATGGAATGGACGACTTCTTGATAATGTTATAATAGCTCAAGAAGTTGTCCATTGATAACTATTATAACATTATCAGAGCCATTGATCTAAAAATTATCGAGCTCTAACATCAAGTACTGTATGATTGATAACTTTTTGTATATATATATATATGTGTGTGTGTGTGTGCTGTAGGACATGGGCCGTTCAAGGACAACCTTCAAACGTATTCCAAATGATAAAGCTCGAAAAGAAACTTTCATGCAGAGAAGGAAGGGACTAATGAAGAAAGTATCCGAATTTTCAACTATGTGTGGAGTTGAAGCTTGCTTAATTGTGTATGATGAGAATGGGGATGCTCAACCTATGACTTGGCCCCGAGACCCTATAAAGGCACACTCTATCATTGAAAAGTATGAGCGTCAAAAAAATAAGAAACCCCTCAAGGCCTTTGATCTTGAAGACTTTTTCAAGAATAAGAAGAACATGGTTGAAGCTGAGATTTCCAGAGTGAATAAAGATATCTTGAAGACAAAGTATCCAACTTGACATCCAAGCTTCATCAACTTAGGAGAGGAGCAGCTGGAGGATTTCATTGCTATGTTGGATGATAAGATTGGAGCTTGTGATCAGAGAATTAACATGCTAAAGAATGAGCATAAAAGTGAAGCCAACGTCTGTTTCATTCAAAACATGGCTCAGAAGACTGGTTCTTCGTACCCTAGCTAACTCAATTACATGGAGATTATATCTGAAAGCCAACATATCCCTATCCCTGCTTCTCTTATGAAGCAACTCAATAATGGGAACATCATTAATGCTATGTTTGGTTCTAATAATGGAGTTTGTAATCAGAGAATTGACATGCTAAAGAATGAGCATAAAAGTGAAGCCAACGTCTGTTTCATTCAAAACATGGCTCAGAAGACTGGTGCTTCGTATCCTAGCCAACTCAATTACATGGAGATTATATCTGAAAGCCAACATATCCCTATCCTTGCTTCTCCTTTGAAGCAACTCAATAATGAGAACATCATTAATGCTATGTTTGGTTCTAATAATGGAGTTTGTGATCAGAGAATTGACATGCTAAAGAATGAGCATAAAAGTGAAGCCAACGTCTATTTCATTCAAAACATGGTTCAGAAGACTGGTGCTTCGTATCCTAGCCAACTCAATTACATGGAGATTATATCTGAAAGCCAACATATCCCTATCCCTGCTTCTCCTATGAAGCAACTCAATAATGGGAACATCATTAATGCTATGTTTGGTTCTAATAATGGAGTTTGTAATCAGAGAATTGACATGCTAAAGAATGAGCATAAAAGTGAAGCCAACGTCTGTTTCATTCAAAACATGGCTCAGAAGACTGGTTCTTCGTATCCTAGCCAACTCAATTACATGGAGATTATATCTGAAAGCCAACATATCCCTATCCCTGCTTCTCCTATGAAGCAACTCAATAATGGGAACATCATTAATGCTATGTTTGGTTCTAATAATGGAGTTTGTGATCAGAGAATTGACATGCTAAAGAATGAGCATAAAAGTGAAGCCAACGTCTGTTTCATTCAAAACATGGCTCAGAAGACTGGTGCTTCGTATCCTAGCCAACTCAATTACATGGAGATTATATCTGAAAGCCAACATATCCCTATCCTTGCTTCTCCTATGAAGCAACTCAATAATGAGAACATCATTAATGCTATGTTTGGTTCTAATAATGGAGTTTGTGATCAGAGAATTGACATGCTAAAGAATGAGCATAAAAGTGAAGCCAACGTCTGTTTCATTCAAAACATGGCTCAGAAGACTGGTGCTTCGTATCCTAGCCAACTCAATTACATGGAGATTATATCTGAAAGCCAACATATCCCTATCCCTGCTTCTCCTATGAAGCAACTCAATAATGGGAACATCATTAATGCTATGTTTGGTTCTAATAATGGAGTTTGTAATCAGAGAATTGACATGCTAAAGAATGAGCATAAAAGTGAAGCCAACGTCTGTTTCATTCAAAACATGGCTCAGAAGACTGGTTCTTCGTATCCTAGCCAACTCAATTACATGGAGATTATATCTGAAAGCCAACATATCCCTATCCCTGCTTCTCCTATGAAGCAACTCAATAATGGGAACATCATTAATGCTATGTTTGGTTCTAATAATGGAGTTTGTGATCAGAGAATTGACATGCTAAAGAATGAGCATAAAAGTGAAGCCAACGTCTGTTTCATTCAAAACATGGCTCAGAAGACTGGTGCTTCGTATCCTAGCCAACTCAATTACATGGAGATTATATCTGAAAGCCAACATATCCCTATCCTTGCTTCTCCTATGAAGCAACTCAATAATGAGAACATCATTAATGCTATGTTTGGTTCTAATAATGGAGTTTGTGATCAGAGAATTGACATGCTAAAGAATGAGCATAAAAGTGAAGCCAACGTCTATTTCATTCAAAACATGGCTCAGAAGACTGGTGCTTCGTATCAGAGAATTGACATGCAAAATGAGCTTCATAGTGAAGCCAACTTCAGTATTATAAAAAATATGGTTCATGAGAGTGCTGCCTCTTGTCTAGCCAGTTTTATACAAGATATGGCTCAAGAGTGTGCTACCTCTGATCCAGGCCAATTCAATTTCATGCAGAACATATCTCAAAGACAACTTATCCCTGCTCTCACGAAGTCACTCGATAATAATACTAATAGGATGATGGATTCTAAAAGTGTGCTTGTAGGTTCTACAGATCAATTTGATGGGCTTATGGACTGTGCTTCTCAGCATGGTGAGCTTGATGAATTAAATAGTCTACAACTTGTTGAGCATCAAGATTGGGCTACTCAACTAGGTGATCTTTTTGGGTTGGACCAGTCAACCTGACGAGTCTGTTTTGCAGAATATTAATGGACAACAATCAGTAGATTTACATGCCTTGCCACCGCCAATGGATGGGTTTCAAACACTGGTTGGTTATCCAGCCGTATAAATCAGTAGCAGTATGAGAGCTGGGAAGCATTCTTCGAAAATTTACGCCTCTAGATTTTTTATTTTTTATTTTTGGTTCTTTTACCTCAGGAGATGGAGTGTACTTGGATGCCATTATATTGTTTAATATATGGATTTTCCTTAACACTGATCCTAACTATGTTTTAGGCAATACTTACTCCGCATATGTTTTATGGTTTAAATTGGATCTCTTTTTCTATAGATTCTCTGAAATTGGTTGTCAAGGTTACATTTGTTGAAACATGCTAAGGCATCACCACCATACCTCCCGAGTCATTTGGGGGATATAATATTCTAATATACGAGTTAGTGTTGTATTTGAAGGTATATAGTCAGAAACGCGGAAGCGCATCGTACCGATGTGATGAGGAATGAAGAACACCGCTTTGATTACCTGGGATGAAGCAACGAGCGTGAGGAATTCTCACGTTCAGTTCTCCTCCTCAAGCCTCACGATCTGCAGCAACGCACCACGAACGGTCGCAATTCCGCTCTACGGTTGATCTTCCAAGCTATGACTCAAGTGGATCAGGGAGTCGTGTAGGCAACCGTTCAGATGATGAACGTCTGCCTCTTTGGTCTGTTTCTGATGTCTGTAACCCTTGGAGGCACTAGAGAGAAAAGAGAGTTTATATACTCTTGCCCAATCCAAGACTAACCCTAAGCTTCATGGGTTGAAATTAGTCTTTTTGGGCTCACTCTAACTAAAGCTATTGGGCTTAAGTGAAAAGAGCATATTAAACCAAACAATCTCCCACTTGCTCTTTTGGACACAAACTTGAGTTCATAAACCCAAGACTATGTAGCCCATAAGCCATCATCATCTGATTATACAACTCATCCCTTGTCTCGAGCTAGCCTGGGGATCTACCATTTGTCACTCATCAAGGCTCCTGATAATCTTTGAAAGATTATCTAATTTGGCGCTACTCCACTAAAAGCCCGAACGTGAACTCCAAGATTAATGACCTTTATAACATGAATATGCATCGCCCCTTTGTAGAATGTCTATAATTGATTGACAAGTTTTCTGTAACTCAATCAATTATTTATTTCCTTGACTATGATAGTTTCTCTAATGGATTACATGCACTGGCCAGTGTCTTTAATATCCAAGTACCGAAATATATCAAGGGGACATATCCTACAAATTTCATGTTGTTTATCTCATAAATACCGATAATCAAATAATCTCACTCCCAAAATACCGAGTTATTAGCCGTCAATAGATCGAACCTCACCCGTTGGTAAATCAAAGAATGAAAACTATTTGATTACCTATTTATAATAAACTCAGGATTAAGAGCAATCCCATAACTATAGTTAACTGGAGATTTGATACCTTATGACATAAAAACAACCTTAATCAAATCTCTCCTTGATCCTTTCAATGTGAATGTTAATTCACATCAATATTTTACAATGATTCGGACAAAATCATTTCATAAAATATTGCAGCCTGAATAAAGTGCCCAACTTTATTTAACGGCTGTGACTCCATTCATCAATTGTGAGAACCTATGATCATGTCCTCCATGAACGTATCCATATGATCATATACTCCACAATTTGATCCGGACCTTTATGTTTGTAAATAGTGCGCAAAATAAATAAATAAAACCTTATTTATGAAATTCAAAAAATTATTTTATTGTTTCATCGTCTTACTCCAAGAGCACAATGAAACCAATAACTCCCACTTGCTTAATGCAAGTCTGGGATCCTCCAAAGACCCAAAGAAGTAACATGCCTCTTGAACACAAGTTCAGGCAAACTCTTAGTAACTGGGTCTGCAAGATCCACCTCTAATGCTATCTGAGTTTAGTGAAAAACTCATAGCTCGAGGTTTATTTTCTTGAGTCAATATCCACTTGAAATAACTGAATTTTTGAAAACTCAGCTTTTCAAGACTCCCACTAGAATATACCAGCATATAATCTCTCGTTCTCAAAAGATACTTGAGTACATGCTTAACAATAATCTAGTATTCCTCTAGGTTCAAAATGGTACTATCTCACTACTCCCACTGCGTGACAGATGTCTGGTTTAACGCCCAACATGATATGCATGAGTCTACCTTTGCGAAAGCATAAGATATCCTGCTCATGCATTCTTCCTTCTTAGAAGTCTTTGGTTACTCCTTAGGAAGATGAATTCCACATCTGAGAATTATAATTCTTCTCTTAGAATTCTCATGTTGAATTTTGGCAAGAGTTTTGTCAATGTAAGTAGCCTGAGGTGATGCCAACAACTTATTCTTCCGGCCTCATAAAAGTTTTATACCAAGAATATAATTGGCTTCCCCAGTACTTCCATACCAAAACAGTAACTTAGCCAACTCTTTATGCTTGATATTACCTCCACATTGTTTCCAATAAGGAGCATATCATCTACATAAAGTACCAGAAAAACTATTGTCTTCCATTTTATCCTTTACATACAAATACACATCATTCATCAAGGTTCTCTCAAAATCAAAATTTTGATAACCTGATCAAAACTGATGTTTCAAGACTTGGATGCTTGCTTAAGTC